CAGGGGAGGCCCTGCTCAGCCACAAGCCAGGCTGATGGCTGCCAGCATAGTGGTGGGGACGGGAGCCTCTCCCACCTTCTCAGCAGCGCTACGGATGTCTGACTGCAGCTTAGGTCTGCTTCCTGCTGGTAAGTGGACATCCTCCAAGGGCTGCCGCTCTCCCAGAGGGATGTCTGACTGCCAGTTTAGGCCTGATACCCTGGGGAGCAGGCCTAAATCGTCAGTTGGACATCCCCTGAGGGCTCCTGGGGATTGGGCCTGCCCTCTGCCACCTGAGAGCAGGCCTAAGCCAGCAGGTTGTTATCTCCCAAAGGGTCCCAGACTGCAAGAGGGCACAGGCTGGGCTGAGGGACCCCGCCGCCCCCCGCTCCGTGTCCACAAATTTTTGTGCACCGGCCTCTAGTTACATCAATAATAATATTGAAAACTATGAGAAATATAGAAACTATAAACCAGACCATTAAAAATATTTAAAACTTATAACTTTTTTAAAGTCCAAGAAGAGAAATTCTTGTAATAGATTTAAATATTTCCCTGCCCTGAATGCTATAACTTACTTTAGGGAGAGCGTTCATCAGAAACAAGGAACAATTATGCTTTGATTTTTCTATACTAGCTCCCATGCTGAGTCCCAGCCTCTGATCAAATCCTCAGGAAAGTTAGACTTCTATTTGAAGAATAATGTGGAGGAAATCTTCTTATCAAAATTGAGAAGAGGATGGATGTAGAATATAAGTGATGTTCATGTGGTAAAAATGTACAAGCACTGCCTTTTAACATAAATGTGTTAACATAACAACCTTGCACTTCTATTACTGTTAGCGCAAAAAGCACAGCGACACACATTTTCCATCATTTTAAAAAGTAACTTTAAACCAATCCTAAGTCTTATTATTTGTATGGTTGTTAGGATTACACATTTAAATCTCAAGATCAAATAATTTCCCTTCCCGCTCTGTATACTTATTTGATGCAGCTACAAGTGGATAAAAGTCTCCCACCATACTTTATCCCAC